TTCCTTTGCTGCCATGCAGGAGGCTAGATGATACCTGGCTGCTATGGTTACGGGAAGACTGTTCAGCAGTGGTTTTAAGTATTTGCTCATGTCAGCACTCTGCATATTTGTATACATACATGCACGTATTGGTACTGCTTTTATTTTACTTTATTTATATTTAAAGTTTATCTGGTGAGATGTTCTGTTCTGATACGGTTGAAGGCACAGCCATATCTAACCAGGAGCTTAGAGGTTTAATTATGAATCTATTCTACAGAAGATGGGAGCTTGAATTTTTGTTTTCTCTTTTTGAATAAGGTAGGAAGTGTTGAGCTCGCTGCTTTTCCTTTTGGCAGCCGTCATCAGCGGGGGGAAAAGTAGTGGGGGTGATTATAGAGTGGTGGGAATGATCTGATTCTCATAGTAACGTTTTAGGAGGCACAGAGGCCTCAGTTGTGTTGGTTTCATTTGTGTTTGCAACCTTACCCTATTGTATATGCATGGCTCTATCTGTGCACGAATCTCTGTCGAGGTTGGGTAATGCTGTAGACGAGTTAGGTGGAGTATTAAGGTGTAAACCACTCTGCTAAAAGGATGTTGTCACACATCAAACAGGGCAGCGGTGGTTTGTCATATATTTTTTTTGTATTGTTTAAACAGGAAACACACATTTGAAGGTCGGATAGCACCCATCTTACTGGGGGAGGGGCAGCATTTCCACTCCACTCTTCAGGCCAAAGCCAGAGGTGTTTCAGTCGTGATCCAGATGTGCGCTTTGAAAAACACGAGGTCATTTCTGATACGTTAAACTCTACAGTACCAAAGAAGCACTGGCCAACGTATCGATAATGTTGATTTCTCTTTATTGCCTGATCTGAGCTCTGCTGGTCGATCCAGTGTTAGACTGACCCAACCACAATCACTAAACCTGCATTGTTTAATAATTGTGGCGTTCTCCTTTTCCTCATACCTGTCCCAGGACTGATTATTTTCTTATTGATTATTCGTTGCTCTCACTAGTCAGTGACTACCAGAGCACAGTGGTGTTGGCCTCTTTCGTGCCAATCATGAATCTTCCCGATGCCCCAAAATACAGAAAACATTAGTGATCTAATTCAACTCTTCTTGCAGACAAGAATTTTCTAAAATTCATGGAAAAACGAATCTGTTTCCCCCAAACGAATACAACAAATGAGATATTTAGCCTGACGATTTGGGATACACTGAAAGACTTTCTGAAGGGGCAAATCATTTCTTATTCAGCAAACAAGAAGAAAAAGGGAGTGACTTGAATTAGCTAACCAAATGCTTCAGCTATATCCAAGGATTAAAAAAACAATTAGATAATAGACGGTAATGCTGCAGACTATATTTGACGTCCTTTCGACACTCAGTTTAATGTCAGCTTCTAAGAGTTTGTTCTATATGCATATAGAGCTGACAGGATGCTATCCAACCAGCTGAAGGGTATCCAGGAAAAACTGCATATTCCCAAAAACAGAATGACCAATGGCACCATCCCCTCCGATCATGTTAAGAGCAACAACACATCCAGGTCTCTCAATTCTCAACTTTATGCCTCTGAGCTTCCACAGAAGAAAACTCTGATGGAGAACTTTTTTAATTCTTTGAATATCCCATGCTCTCTGATGAAATTAAGATTTCATCAGTCTGGAAAGTCTCCGGGCCAAGATGGATTTCCTGAATTCTTTTAAAGCATTCTCAGTATTGCTTTCACCTCAACTATGTGTAGCTTTGCCATATTTAAAGGAGTCAGCCAAAGTCCCTTCATCGTTCTATGAAGCATGTATGACTGTTGTTCTAAAGGTAAAGATCCGAATGCTCATCTTACAGGTCTCCTCACTCACTGCCAAGATTTTGACCAGTTTTAGTGCATAGGCTGGAAATTGTTTTACCATCAATCACATCTGAAACCAGCTTTATTAAAAACCAGTGTTTGTCATCTGTTTGATATATTATAGTCTCCTCGCACGGAGACTCCAGACTATCTGCTCCCTGGATACAAAGAAGGCGTTTGGTTGTGTGGAGTGCGAGTATCTATTCACAAGCTTAGCAAAATTAAAGTTTGGACCCAAATTTAATTTTTGGATAAAATTGCCATATCTCTGCCCTAAACCCTCAATCCTCTCAAACTCCCAGCAGTCACAGCTGTTTAACCTCCAAACCCAGCAAGGGTGACCCTTAAGCCCGTTACTCTTTGATGTGGATATAGAAGCACTGGCCATGCTACGAGGCTGAGCAGATGTCTCTGGGAACTGGAGGAGGAGTCATAAAGTATCCCTGTATGTAGAGGATCACCTGGTCTTCTGGTCATGTGACTCAATACATCCGATTTTCTATTCAGTATGTTTTCAGGATGCAAACTGAACTGAATCCACCGTAAACACTGCAACAGTTCCACGCCTTTTTAATTTAATTTAATTTTTTTCCCCTTGGGGGGGCAACCCCTTTGAGTGAAAGACTCTGGTCTCCACAAGTCTAAGCATAATTTCCAGTATTACTATTGGGCATCTAATATATGCTGGACCATATATGAAGGTAGTCACCTCTGCCCACTCTGCACCTTCTTTTGTTGAATCCACTTGACTTGATGTTTCTTATTTGTCCACTCAGTTCTCCTTGGCTTAGCTAAATGATGCAGTTTTCTATCCACTGTCTTCCCAAACATCCCACATGCAGGTGGCATCATTAGTTCCTGAACTGAAACATCCTGTCATGAGCCTCAAAACGTTGATTCTCATCATCTGGACGCAGCGTTTTCAGCGTTTCGTCACTCATCCAACTCCAGACGCTGTCATAACAGTTTGTGCCTCAGTGAGCGACTCTTTGGTTTACAGGGGGAGTAAGTTTTATTTATATCACCTTTCAAAATGCAAATCAAATAAAAACCATCTAAAAGGGAAATAAAATAAAATGCCAGTTTAAAAAAGCAGGCTAGTCCCATAAAAGTAGACCTATCAGACTGACCATGGCTCTCCAAGGTAATGAGGTGGTGCAGATACGAGTGGGCAGAGGTGACTACCTTCAGAGGGCTGCAGATACAACAGGGAAGATGCAAGTGCAAGGAAAAGGGCCAGGAGCAACACTGCACAGTAATAACAGGTCAGACATGTGGGACTCAAAGCCAAGGTTTCAAACCACAGCGCAAGAAGGCAGGAAGTGGAAGTAGTCCCTCTGAAGGCTGCAGCACGTAAACACACGTTGTGCACCAACAAACACTACAGTGAGCAGAAAATATAGAAAGGAAAGATGGACACAGGCAATCAGGTCGCCAAGAGAAAGGGAAGTGACTGTAGCTGCAGGAGCTGGAGGACGAGCTCAGCATCATCCTGAAGCATTCAGTGCATGGCCGGGTCGAAGCTAAGCTTAACTTCATGACGACATGTGCGGAGAAGAAGGGTCGAAAGAGGGAGACGGATCAAGCAAATGATGGTGAGGCTGGCAAGAAAAGCGATGGAGGAGCAGAGATCCAGCTCTGAAACTGCTACGATTCTTTGTTGAGCTGATGTGGGAGGAGGCTTTGAGGTTGGCAATGAGAGGAAGCGATCCAAGGGCTCGACCTGGCAGCTGAGTCTCGGGAGGCTGACTGAAATGCTGTAATATGCTCACTGGAAGTCAGGTATCAGGGCTCTGTTGGCTCCTCAACTGCACTCCTCTGCAGAGGAGCAGCGCTGATGCCAACCACCAAACAACTGGCAGCAGAAGCATGAAGCCAGCATGTGGCTGTGATTACAGAGAGAGCACAAGGTCTGGGGGCTAAACAACAGGGGATATACTTCATTGGCTGGAGGTCCTCAGCTGATGCCACCCATAGATGTTTACTGTGGCTCCCCCAGGCAAAGGCCTTCAAGGGGCACCTGAGCTAAAGCGCATCATTAAATGCCAGCAGGATTTCCACCATCCTGCGTAGTGATGTGAGCTTGTAGCTGCAGATTGTGGAGTTTCTGCAAAGTCACCTTTAGTCTAGATTATCTTTGTCACTGTCAGTCAGCTTAGTTGCTCACATTTGTGTGGAGAGTCTTTACCCAATGAAAACTAGACAAACAGCACACTTGTTTTCATATTTGTCTGCTGAGTTTGCAGCAGTAACATTTTCTGCGCATCCTTTTGTGGCCATGGCCTTCCTGTGATATATCCTGTTTCTTGGTTAATCCCCATGCTTGTGGCAGCTGCCGGTTTTGCTCCAAACATCCACTTCAGCACAAATGTCATTGATGCAAAAGTTAGATCTGAGCAGCGTCCAACAATTTAAAGGTGAAAACTGAAGTGCACAGTTCCATCGTGTGTTTGTGCATCACTGCATCACGTTCAGAGTCTCTGATGTAGTTTTCAGGTATGTTGTGGGTCTCTTATTATCTGTTGGTGGTAAGAATTGATTGATTCTTGATTCTTGTCTCGGTCACCGCTGTGCTTCACTTTACTGGTGGATGTTACCACGGTTACTGTGGCTACAACAACAATGCTCCTCTCTGCTTCTCTTCACAGTAAAAGTGCAACTGAAATAATCTTTGTAGTCAAAACAGAAAAACACTCTGAGCTGCTGCCTCGTTCACAGGAGATCGCCCCGGCAGCTGTGCACGTTGGATTTCGCCTTTGTAACGGCCTTATGAAGCAGCTTCTCACCGTTTCAGGGCAACAGGATAAAAATACAGCAAGAAAAGCTACAAATGATTTTCTCATTTCACCTGAAACATTCTGCAATCAAAATCTACCCGTTGTTACGGGAAACTGTCGTCAATATTAATATGGGTTTTTGAATGTACACTTTAATATTTACGTTTTCTTAGAGCTAAAAGGCTCCAATATGCTGACTTCTGGAAAAGTCAGCATAAGAGGTTCAGACTTATAGCTGTCAGAGGTCGAGGCAGAAGAGGCTCAGATATTAGAGCAAGAAGGGTTAGGCCAGGGGTGTCGAACTCCAGGCCTCGAGGGCCGGTGTCCTGCAGGTTTTAGATCTCACCCTGGTCAACACACCTGATTCAAATGATCAGTTCATTCCCAGGCCTCTGGAGAACTTCAAGACATGTTGAGGAGGTCATTTAGCCTTTAAATCAGCTGTGATGGATCAAGGACACATCTAAAACCTGCAGGACACCGGCCCTCGAGGCCTGGAGTTCGACACCCCTGGGTTAGGCTTTATCATTCACTCACTGCACACATAACGTGCAAAATATTTACCATTAGTAAAAGTACATTATCATGCACCTCTCTGTTATCATTTCTTTAACCTCCTAGGACCTGCGTCCACATGTGGACGTCACATTTTGGGTTATTTAGACCAAAATACTCAATTTTGCTC